AAAAAAAAAAGAAAGAAGAGGGAGAGAAAAAGGAAAACGGTTGATACTGAAATTCACGAGCACGGTGAACACGATTCACGGTGCTCGTGAAAGGCCCGTCGCGCTGGGAACCTCTCGACGAGCACCACCAGCAGCCTCTCGTCGAGAAGAGGAGATTTTCGCGTGACACGCGACCACGTTCTCGCAAAGCACGCGTGTTTCGCGGCTGAATCGAACGGAAGCGTTATTGAATCGGCAATACGGCCGGAGCGGCTCATTGGAATGCAGTGATGCATCGCTATATATATATACATATATACACGCGAAGCTGGACTGATGTTGGTGACCGGTCGGTCGTCTATGGCGCATCTTCTCTCGGGCTTAAACAAACGATCGGTATGCAAGGTGAGAGAGGCCTATCTATTCAGGCCCTCGAACGGAATGCAGAAAAAGCCGACGTTTCCAGACAAAAGATATCGGCATCGGGCTCTCTCTCTCTCTCTCTTTCTCTCTGACCGAGTGGAAGTCTTCCTGGTTCCCGTTATTCGCCTGTCGGTCTGCTTCTTCGCCCTTAAAAACGCGGCTGGGAAATCTGAGAACCCATCTGAACGGAAGAACCCGTTCCATTCTGGACAGGATGGTGTCACATACGAGCTTCTTCATCTGGAAGACACACTTCTTTTTTTTATTTTTTTTAAATGGTAGAGGAGGAGAGTTGGGACTTTAACCACTTGCGCTGGCAATCAATTGCGGACCATAACGAGTGACCAAACCGTATACAACAATTCGTTTATGAACTTGTCGGTATTACTAGATATTATTGAGAAGTAATAAATTTATTACTTTACCTGGGTTATACTTAAATATACTTGAAACTGAAAAAATATTGCAATTTTGGGACAAAAAATTCTCGACATGAAGTTAACCACTTGCGCTGGCAACTGATTGCGGACCACAACGAGTACAACAATTCGTCGCTTTCCTTTATGAACTTGTCGGTATTACTGGATAGAAATTATTGAAAAGTAATAAATTTATTATTTGTTTTGCCTGGATTATACTTAAGTATACTTGAAACTGAGAAAATATTGCAATTTTGAAACAAAAAATTCTCGACGCGCGTGGCACAAGAGGTTAACCACTTAGCAACTGATTGCGGACCATAACGAGTGACCAAACCGTATAAATTCGTTGCTTTCCTTTATGAACTTGTCGGTATTATTGAATAGAAATTATTGAGAAGTAATAAATTTATTATTTGTTTCAACTGGGCTATACTTAAATATACTTGCAACTGAGAAAATATTACAATTTTGGAAGAAAAAATTCTCGACGTGCGTGGCACGTTATTCCAGCGCAAGAGGTTAACTACTTAGCAACTGATTGCGGACCATAACGAGTGACCAAACCGTATACAATAAATTCCTCGCTTTCTTTTTAAACTCGTCGGCATGATATCATTCGATTAAAATTATTGAGAAGTAATAAATTTATTATTTGTTTGACTTAAATATACTTGAAACTGAGAAAATATTGCAATTTTGGGAGAAAAAATTCTTGACGTGCGTAGCACGTCATTCTAGCGCAAGAGGTTAAAGTTGAATTGGACGAAGATTATCGTGTTTGCGTATATTTATAAGGTACGGCGGAGGGTCGGTACGATGCTCGAGATTGATAAAGCTCTCGTTATCGAACCGGGACGGGCACTCAATTATTTGGCTTGTTATGCCTCCGAACTTGGGCCAAGTCGAAAGAATCACGGCACGAGTTTATCGAGTGATTGGTCTTACACGATTGCTTCGAGTGGCAGGTGGATTGGTCACTTGTTTTGGAATATTCGAAGTTGTTTAAATCCTCGTGACTTGTACAATTTCCACGGTCTAGGTTCCAACCAAATTGAATTGCAATGAAATTATGACGATGACACGCTCTCTTTATTATAAGTACAGAAAACTATTTCTCGTGGAAAATTGTGAGAAATGACAAGAACGTGGATGTATCATGATATAAAAAAAAAAGAAAAGAAAAGCAGAAGGAGCAGAAACGAAGAGGATTTAGATTCTAGAAATAATATAATGGAAATCAGATGGTAAAAGATGTTTTATTTTATACAACATGATACAAGGCCGAACTGGGCGACGTCAAACGAAAATAGCTTGTACGAATTCCAAAAATCAACCAATTTCGTTGGTTAAAAAAGAACCAGATAGATAACTTCTTCCGAAGCTTTCTCCTCGGCACCGCCGAGGCAATAACCGTAGCCGAAATTACGTAAACGGTTTTTCAAATTTAGAACTGGCTAGCGACCGATCCCGAAGGAATAAAGAGTTTCTAGCGCTGTTAATCTAGCGCGGAGGGCAAACGCTCGAGGGTGGAACACCGGGGCGTGCCGCGACAAAAGAAACCTCGTTCTGCATTGCTCGCGGGAAGGAAAATATATGAACAGTGCAATGACAAAAAACGTGCTTTATGTACCTGCTGCCGTAATCCTCTTGGATTCTCTTGCGAAATTTCTGACGGGCTGAATTTAATTTTGAATTACCTACCGTCCACCTATCGGTCTCGATCCTCTCTCTTTTCCAGCGCTGAATTCTGTCAAGATTATTCATCCGTCATACGTACACGTGTAAAAATAGATTATCCTCTTTTATTTATAATGATTTATTCGTACACATGCATTACACTTTTGTACGATATATTTGTTTTATGTATTTTACTTTTATACTTTTGTACGATATATATATTTTATATATTTTACCTTTATACTTCTGTACGATATATGTATGTATTTTATATATTTTACTTTTATATTTTTGTACGATATATGTACGATATATATACTTATATATTTTATTTTTATACTTTTGTACGATATATATATATAAAGTTCTACGATAGCAGATTAATTATAGATAGATTTGAAAGATAAATTCGCAATTTAAAATATTCGGATCTATCGCTTTTAATATATTACATATACAATATATATTATGTTACATGTACAATATATTAAATGTATTAATCATTACATAATACATTATAATATATATATAATTTATAATATTATAACTTTAATTATATATTAAAAGCGGTAAATTTAAAAGTACGGAATAAAACCTTGAAACTATTACCGCAGATAGATTCGTCTATTTTAAATTGCAAACTTATCTTTCAAATTTATCTACGATTAACCTGCTATCGTAGAGCTTTCTATATAAGATCGTAATGAAATATCCAAGGCGGGGAACATATTAAAGCTCTCAAGATCTCGAGTGCTTTATCGGACGATAAACTCGTTCGATGCGATCGACGCCTGGAAGCGACGTTAGAGGGTCAACCGATTGCCTGGACTC